AAAATTCAAGTTCCTCAAAATACCTCGAGTGATACATCATTTTGATCGGAAAGAGCCAAGGAATGCAACGAGCTAATTAAAAGACACCGGGGCCTTGCCAGTTCCCAAATAATCAACATTTTCAGTCTATTTTGAACGGTTTTTGAGCGGTAGCAATCTTCAACGGACGATATCTTCCTTATTTTCAACCCACAACTTTCGTGTTCGCCATTGGGCAACTTGGGGTAGTGTGAGAAGTAACTTCCGATCTGAAAGGGTTTTTTCAATTTCAAGTTTTGCAGATGTACACTTAAGAAAAACATGAGTGCAAGGACTTCAAAAGCATCCAAATGATCGCCAGATTTTTTGCGAAAATTTAAACTTTGAGGAGTGTTTAACTGGAGTTTTTCACTTCAAATAGGGCACAAAGCGGCTGTTGATCTGAAAGGGTTTAGGCAAAATTAATTTTTGAAAAAGCACACAACTGCGAAAGACGTTAGGGCGCGTTTGCAAGTGTTGTTTCAAAGGCGTGCTACTATTCGTCAGGTTTTTTTCAACTGTTATAATTCCACAACATTAAAATTAAAGGGAAGTTCACCCTTTTTAATGCAGCCAATAGCAAGTTATTAGTTGTCTTGGATTTTGCACAATAAATTTTTTAAAACACGGTTACCCAACTATGAGAGGTATTTGAGGCGCCTACTGAATTTCGTTCCCAATATCCCCCAATATTGCTCAAAGTTTTTCGAGCTTGGTAGAAACAAGCACCAACACTGCATCCCTTTTAGAAAATAAATTAACAATTTTCCGAAAATTTGCAATTTGGAAAATTCTGCTTTACACATTTGACAACACTGCCCTAACATATTGGCGTAGTTCCACTCACGACAAAGAGAATCGTTTAAAGAAAATAACCTTTGTATTTAGGGTTTGCAAAATATTTTGATGGCCAGGAGATTTGCGGGATAATTCAGCGTTTCAGGGCAATTTTGCACGTTTTTTAAGGCCATATTATAAAGATTCTTCATCTGGGAAACATGTCGGATAGTGAAGCTGATGCGGACCCTCAAAGGGTAAGTTGTCCAAAAGTCTGCTTACCTCTAAAATTGTTTAGGATTACAGCTGCGACCCCCAAATGTTCTTTTGTATTATAAGGGACATCCTTTCTTCGTCTACTCCGTTAAAAATGTGCTCACTTATTAGTTAATAATACAAACACGATCCGACTGTAAATGCCCAGTGCACTGACTAAATGTGCTAAAGGATAAATAGTTATGAGATAGTGCCCGGGCTAACGCTATATAGGCTTTTCCTTATGTTTCCAGCGAAAAATCCGTGAAAATATTGCTGGTATGAGTTTCGAGGAGCTCATTAAGCTGAAGGAAAAGATGGGCGCAAAAATATACAACCAAACAGTGTTAGGAGCATCCCAGGTAAAAAAAGCGGTTGATCAAAAAGTGGTTAAACGATCGAACAAAAACAGACCGAGAGAAATTACCTCAAAGATCAGGCCCAAACAGATCAGGGCCATTCTGGAGAGTAATAGTACGTGAATTTATCACTTTTCTGCGGGTGTGGAAAATGAAAAGTTTGTCTCTTGCAGCCAGTTCAGCCGATCTCCAATCAAAAGCTCCTGCCTCGAGGGATCCGAGATTTGATCCCTCTTGTGGGACACTTAATAAAGCGATCTTTAAATACAACTATACATTTTTGAATGAGCTGCGGCAAAAAGAAAGATTAGCGTTGGAAAAGGAGTATAAGGAATGCACAAATCCTGAAAGAAAGAACACGATCAAATTCCTAATTCAGCGAATTGTAAGCATGTATTTCAGCTGCTAGAAGACAATTAATCAAAGCGTGTTTGTGTTTAGGACAATCAAACCAGAGAGGAGGAGCACTTGAGGAAAATCGACGAAAAAGAAGGGAACGAAAAGCGCGAAATTCGACAGAAGCTAAAACAGGGCGAGAAACCAGTATATAAAAAGAAATGTAAGAACATTTAGGGTTAAATTGTTTAGTTGCTAACGTATGTTTTAATTATTAAGCGGTCAAGACGGTGGAGAACCTGGTTGAGAAATATGAAGAACTGAAAAACACGAACAAACTGCAGAAACACATCCAGAGAAGGGCCAAGAAGGTGCAAGTCAAAGACAGGAAAGCACTAGAGAAAATTAAGGGAAGTTAATGATCATTAATCCAGCAATAAATAAATAGATCAAGCAAATAAATTGTATCATTTCATCCCAGTTTTGGGCCTGGGAGGCCGAAGTTACGAAATCGAATGGAGAAATAATATACTGGGTGTCCGAGTTGAAATAAGCAAGTATGATTGAACGCAATCGGGAAGCGTCGCCATCTGGCCAACGTATTTTTTTAAAAATGTCTAAATTAGCTGGCTATTACTAGATTAAAGCGATTTGCAATGGAACAAGCTGTTCTTTTAATCAAAATAATATTTGATATTAGTAGGAAAATTAACGATGACGCCCTTTATATATCGATAATATAAACCGGATTTAGAGCGATTTTATTTGCCGTTTAAAATCCACCCTTCTAATTTTTCTTATGCCAATTCCATTTTCAGTTAATTTAGTTTTATTTATCAAACCTCTCCCTGATTTTTCCGCAAAGTTAAAATGTATGCACATCAATCGATATCGGTTCACCTGTCTACTTCCTGACAGTTTGGCACTGACAACAGGTGAATGCTATTTGAAAGTGGCGCCCGTTTAGGACCAATTTTTACGATTATTTCTGCTAAATAGTGACTATTTTATAGTGAAACAAGTGTTTAAGTACGCGAGTGGGACTCACTTTACGAACAGTCGTTTTATTCCACAAATTTCTCGTTTACTTCAGCGCAGCCTTCAAAGAGATCGGTAAGTTGACATTAACAAGTGCATGAGATGTAGATGTGAGCCCCTCCGTTCAATATGGGGCACAGCGACTTGTCGCTATGTTATAATTACCTTATTAATGTAATTAGCAGCCTTTCATCATAACTCTTTGTGCCTTATCGGTGAAGCGATGTCTATCCAGGCATTCGCTCAAGGGGGCCCCTATCCGTTGTTTGGAACACCTTGGGGCTTTTTTGAGTCTGCCTACACTAAGTGCACAGTTTCACAATTCACTATCGATGTACTACCATTATTTCAGTTCCACTCATAACTCCTGATTCATATTCTCATTGTCAAGTCACGCTTTTGTGAGCCCCTTTTCTTCACCTATTTGCCAGAGGACATAAGTCTGTTTTGTAACTGGCAAGTGTTTATTTTGAGTCCAAAGTTAGGTCAGATCGTCTTCTTTTGATGCCAGGAATATCGCAGTATCATTTTGAGCATGTGTTTACGGGTCACCCTGTATAAATAGTCAGCTTTAAAAGAGGCAAAATTAATAAACAAATGGGCTTCAGATGATTAGTGGTAATAATTTAAATGAACAAAAAACTATGCGAGTACATAAAATATATAATTTATTTATTTATATAATATGCATTTGCTATATATTTATTTATATATTAATATATAATTGATTAGATTATACATATACATATAACTATTTTAACTGCATTAATAGTATTTTTTGTTCTGTTTTTTCTTTCAAAATATTTCCCTCCTATACAATTCACTAAAACATTATCATATAATAATCCAGATAAATATAAATTATCATATAATTGGATAATATGATATAGGTACACGCGTTCCAGCCACTTGAAAAACATAACCTATAGTTTAATATCGTTATAATAATTTTATTTTTTTCATATTTATTTTGTATAAACATACTCTTATACTAGACGTGGAACATGTACAGGGTGACTGGAGTACACAGAGCACTGTATGTTTTCAAATACTCACATCTATGCGATGTGAGTAAAGCGAAATAGCGCGCACACAGACACACACAGGAACAAACGATCGGATATTTGAATAAAATCTGCGAAAAGTGGTTGAATTTGAAAAAATACCTCACCCTGCATATCGGCGAACAATCACATTCGGTAAAACCGATTCTAGCACCAATCAGAAACATGGAAAAAGTATGGAAAGGAAAAGCGAGAACCAAAATCTGCCTATAGAGCAACAATTTAAAAAGTATAAAACGATTTTAGAACTGTATTATAGATGTATATATATAAATTTATAAAGTACGCAATTGGAGATTTAGCGAGGCGCCGGACGGCCAGGACCGGCTTCGAACCTATTCGCTCTCGAAATCTGGACTTTGTTATATATCTATACATATAAAAAAAGTTTGCCCCCAACTCAGATTTAGTTCCTTTTTCCATCCTTCCTAAACCTAAGATACTATTAGAAAAAGCCTTGCTTAATAATACTATTGAACTATTACTCATAGAAATCATAACATATTGGTTTTGGGTGGAGATTCAATTTTGATTAGCTCCGTTTTCTCGTTCAAACAATGACAATAAAAGGAAAACAATTTCCTACATTCGGCTACAACCAACCCTGCTAGCTAGTCCGACCCTGTCAACCAAGCAGGCTATCCTGCATAGTAGCCGATCTTATCATGGAAAATCAAGAGCATCTCGGTGTTTCATGCTTAAAACAAAAAAGTTTGAAAAAATCGCTTTTCTAGACTAGCCATCCATTCTACAAAAACGAGGCTATTCCAAGGGACATAACTATTCCGACCACTGTGAGCAGTAATGCCCAAATATAGACCAGGTTCTCCTTGTAAAAGCGCTTAAATGACACGCCGTGCAGAAGCAGCGTTGCCATGTTCCGGTTTTTGGTGGAGTGGATGGGAGTCGCATGGCTAGAGAGCTTAGTGACGGCTGAAACATCGGCACTCGTCGTGGCAAAAGTAAGCGGGGGCGAGTACGGCCCTGGCAAGTCGCCAGCTGCAGTAACTCGTACTGAGCATACGCGTGCTAGATATTCCGTGCCAGGCTCCAGGCTCTGGATTGCGCACTTCGTTTCACTACTGCGGTGCACCTGAAAGAGAAAAACTACAATGTAAGCCTCAACTTGCAGTTTTCAAGTCGCCAACTTGCCTGCTTGTAAATCGGGTCTTTAGCCCGGGCAATTTGGACCTGGTAGATAATGCTGTCGTCGAAACCGTTTTTCGCCGACGACACCCATTCAATGCTGCAACCGGATTGGTCCACCTCTACCACCCGAGGTACCTTGAGGACCGCCGGTGGCGCCACCGACGTACTAAACCGGTATTCTGGCGAATAGTCGCCGGTTCCTGCGTCGTTACTTGCGCTAATCCTGCACAAATGACCAAAAACCACGCATTATAAACCGATTAAAGCCCAGGCATCCCCGTTTATACGATGGTACGATGATACGAAAGTGTTTCTATTGGTTGGAGATCTGTCAATTCGTACTTATCTGTATCGTACTACGTATCTGAACTGTACGGATAATCTGCCCGTGTATGGGGCGCTATTGGTTGGCGATCTGTCAATTCGTACGACGAAGTACGAATTGACAGATCTCCAACCAATAGCGCCCCATACACGGGCAGATTATCCGTACAGTTCAGATACGTAGATTCGATTCGACAGATCCAGATCGGACGAATTAAATCTTTTCCTGTCCACTAATTAACATACCAAGCACGAGTGCCGATTCTTCCAGTGGGATTGGAGGTATCAGATACGTTCGTTAGTGGAGCGAAATCTTACGTTTCAGACAGACTTGGTCTGGCGCGTGGTATTTCAAGAGAACTAAAAGATCTGGTCGTGGCAGAGGCAGAGGCAGATTAGTTAAACTAAGTGTTTAAAATGCGAAGCAGGAAACGGATAGCTATTGCTTGTGCTGGCATCATAGTGGTTTCAGAAAATCTACGCAAAAAAAGTGAGAAGAAAGTGGGTACCCTAGAGACTATAGATTGGAAGGGCGTCGGCAGCCATAGGATTTTTTTTTATAAACACGTTGTTATTAGAACTAAAATTAAAAAGGCAAATTGATCTACCACTTTCTTAGTGAAATACTGCAAATTCTGAGAAACATACATATGTGTTCTGAGCACACTCATTAGGTACCTTTTAGTTGAACCCCGGCTGTTCTGGGCAACCTATTTTGTTCGCTCATACAGTTGTTCGTAAAACCTATATTTTTAAATCTGAGCCTATATTATTAATGACTACATCTGATTTACTTTTGTAACTTCATATCTGGAATATATCATTTTTAGCGTCGCCTTTAACAAAGAACAAACGATTTTTACCACAATTTTTGCAGTTAACAATTGAAAATGTGAACATCACATAAAACATCATTGCGCTTGAACATATGGCCTAGTCTGTACATATACGGTCTGATTCTATATACCGTCTGTAACATATCTTCAATTCAAATACGAAGAATCACTTCATACAGTGGCAATTAATTTTCTTCGGCTCAAAGTAGGCACAAATTAAATTAATCGACCGCCTATTTACTGGGTATTTTATGAAAAGCTTCGTCTTCGTAATCGAAGTAGTGATTTTCTCCTGTGACAGCTACTATCTCATCATCTTCCAAGATTTCTATAGCCAAATTTTCGATCATCACCTCTTGCCCATTGCTTGAATTATAACATTATACACTATATGTCAAATCTGTACCAATGTCTACCGTTAAATTTTATCTGAATATGTATTTTCTTTAAGCCGCGGAAAAAAAATATATATGATGCGGCAATAATATATGATTATAGTATTCGCTTGTACCCACTAACGGCGAAATTTGGTCCGCAAGTCCAGATCTGCAGGTTTATTTTGTACGAAATTCGCATCGAGTTGTATCTGGCTCGTGATTAAGATATCACAGATATTTCGCTCGTGTATGGGGCGCTAATAGAAACACTTGCATCATCGTACCATCGTATAAACGGATGCATGAGACACAGGCTTGATGATGTAGAAATCAAGGAGAGTTGAAGTATAATTTGCATTAAATGCTTACCGAAACTTGTAGATGGTCGACTCATGGAGTTTATTCACTTTGCAACTCAGGGCGGTGCCACGGTACACGCACTGCCATTCTCTGGATCGCGTGTTTTCCATTTCCACGAAAAATTGGGTAAAATCCAGGTTTTTTCCTGCGCAAAGCGGAATTTTTTAGCTGTCAGACCACAGCACCTCGTTCAGATCAACTCACCTTCACCCCATTTGAGTTTCAAGTAGTTGTGACCCACGCCAATGGTTTCCAGGGTCGGAGCCGCGGGGGGGAGACGCGATGTGGTCGTTTTCCACACAGGCGAAAACTGCCCATTCGCTACTGTGTTTACGGCCTGGATTCGGATCTGAAACAATCAGGATCCTCTGTGAGTTAAACGCGAGTGAACAAAAAAATTTAAGCTATACTGCAAATGATAGAGGAGCAGGAAAAGGGACTACGAAACATCTTCCCAATTACCTTGTAGTGCGTTTCTGGATGAAGGTTGTCGATCCTGTAACGTTCCAGCGGAGCCTCAAGATTAATCAGCTGCTCCCCATTCACATCAATGTTGTAGCTGGTAATGGCTGCGCCGTTAGACGCAGGCTCCGCCCACCATAGCGCGATTGTGGTGGGCGTGGCCTCGCTGCGCAGAATGGTGGGCGCGGATGGGGCAGCTGGTGGTGTCAAGGTGGCAGCAACAGTCGAGTAGGGTCCAGGACCTATAGATACGGTACCACGATTTTCAACAGGAAGCATAAAAAAAGCATATAGTCCAGCAAGATAATCAGATCAACTTACCGGCAGAATTAAAAGCGCGGACCCTAAAAAAGTAGGTGTGGAAAGGCAGCAAGTTTTTCGCGTCGAAACTAGTTTGAGGACCCTGATACAGGCTGGAGAACTGGCTTACATCCTCAGGATTTTCCGTGTTTACCTCCAACCTAAAATGCTCATTAGAGCAGGCGTGTCTCACTTTAGTGTCGGAACTTACTGATACTCAGTGACAAGCGCTCCGTTGTTTTGAGGCTCTCGCCACTCCAGGAAAATGTGGAACGCGGACCGACAAATGAGGCTAATGCCATTTGGAGCTGCCGGAGGCGCTGCCCCAGATACCACCTTCAAGCATTCTGACCAAGGACCTGCACATATCCTGCAAAAAATGAGTTAATTTTAAAAAATTACTACTGAGCAAGTCGAGTACTCACCGGTTGACTGCCCTAACGCAAAATGCGTATTCCTGCCCGGGCAGGATTCCTCGGTCCACCGTACATTGAGTGTCTTTACTCTTGTGCACGATCACACGACTGGAATCTGGATTCGTCTGGAAAATGGCCAAGACGGAGATTTATTGTGAATTGAGTGAATTAAGTGAATCGATTAAAACGTACCATCTCGAGCTCATAGTCCAAGACGGGGGCGCCACCATTATAGTCTGGCTCCGCCCAGCTCACAGTCACAGAGTTCGGCCCCGCCCTTTCCATCAATGTTGGCGCGCCGCATACTCCTGGACCAATCGCCTCACTTGTCACCGTGCATGGATCGGAGGGCACACTTTGACCCCCTGGAAATCCATTCCAAAAAAGACTAGAACCCGAAAAGGGAAGTGAGTGGAGAGCGTTTTGATGCTTACCGGCCGAGGCGCAGCTCACGCGCAACTGATAAGTGGTGCCAGGAGTAAGCCGATCACAAATTGCCTCTGTGTCGGGTCCTGCGTATGCCACCTCGTAGCCGCTGCCCGAATTCACCTCCAAGATATACCTAGAATAAACCCGGATGATCAGGCCACGAGCTGTTAACACTCTCTTTCAATTAATGAGTGTTAAGATGAGGGAAGTGAAGTGAAAGATGAGGAATGTTACCTGGTGATCTCAGCGCCGTCAACTCTGTTGGGCGGTTCCCACTTGAGCCGAAAAGAGTATGCGTGGATCCGTCCCTTGACCACGGGCTTGGAGGGACGCTCGGGCCGATCAGGCTTCGTGCGGAAGGTGACCTCCTCGCTCCAACTTGAAATACCGCCCTCATTGGTGGCTCTCAATCTGTAACACCAAACATATGTTGGCCAACGAGTTTCGGATAGTGCAAGTCTCCACAACCCCCTTAAACGTTAAAAGATGATACATTTGAAATAGATGCTCAAAACTACCTGAAGACATAGTCACTAAAACTGGCCAGCCGCTGACACACATACGAAGTGTCCCGTCCATTGTAGACGCTCAGGTGACCGTACTTGGTGCGCAGATCGTTCATCTGCAGTGTGTACTCCTCGTCCTCGACGCGCCGCTGCCACTGGACATGCAAACTGGACACAGAGGCCGCCAGCAGAGTGGGAGGGGCAGGTTGAGGTGGAGGCATGTCCGTAGTCCTAAGGGATAGAAACTTATAATTGTGGCTGCTGTTTAGTGCAGTCGAAGCCTACTAACCGAAAAGAGACTGGTTCGGAATAGGCACTCCGCCCCACTTCGTTGACTGCGGCCAACCGGAATCGGTAGGTGGTGGCCGGTTGGAGTTTCTGCAGGTTGTACTGCGTGCGACTTCGGATCCGGTGCACTTCCTCAAACTCTCCCCCTTTGCCAGCGTCGTACTCCAGAACATAGTACTGGATGCGGGATCCGTTATCGGGAACTTGACTCCATCTAACCGGTGAAAATGCATTAATTAAAAGAGTTTTTGCTGTCCTTCCACCCTGCCTACCTGAGCTGTAGAGAGTTTTTCGTCTTTGCGCCAAGCTTGGGTGCTTGCGGCTGATCCGGTTCGCAGCTGGGTGTCAGGAATTTCACTGGATCAGTGGCATAGCCTTGCAGCTCATCAAGATGCACCTGCAGGGACACTGAGTACTCCTGGCCGGGCTTCAAGTCCTAAAACCAAAGAGAACGTTTACACTTGTCCGAAACCGTCCTTTGAAGTTAACTGACTTTAATGCGACAGCTATGGGATGGTCCTTTGTAGATCGACTTGAACTTCATCTCTCCTCTAGATGCGTCCCTTCCTCTGTCGCTTAGCAGCACCTCGTACCATAACTCGCTCTCCGGAATGTCAATCTCGTTGGTGCCGCTGTCGTTACTGGCCGACTCGGACAGCCGCAAAGGAGGGGCCCACTGGAGGAGGGCATTTCTCGAGCTCAACTCGGCAACTTGAGGCGCCTGGACGGAGGAGAGCAGATCAGTCACCACCTGGACCGACTCCTCCTCCTCTGCAACACTTTCCCGTTCATCGCCCTCTTCGCTGCTCCGTCCGCGCTTCAAAGCAGGCCTGGACCCGGGATCTGGGCCCTTTTGTTTCTCCTGCAGTTTCTTTTTCAATTTCGTATGCTGCCGTTGAGTGCGTTCATCCTGCCAATGAAAAGTGATTACCATGCAGAACTTTCCAAAACAGATTTTGCAATGGAACCCTGTAGGGGAGTGAAAGGGAGGACTGCCCAGATAAAAGTGGTATAGTAGAATCCAAAAAAGGTCAAACATTATGTCTAGAGACAATCTGGGGGACCAACAGAGATGAGTGGTGGTCGGGAATAGAAAGACGTAGACGTTGTAGATGCAAGTGGCTCATTGCGCAACTTTGAATACAAAAAACCTACCTTGTAGCAGGTGGTTGGTGGTGGTGGTGGCGACGGTCCTGGATGAGCGGGGTTGAGGGGCACTTGTGGGCCTGGCATGGAGGGGTATTGCGCAGGATACCCGGAAACGGAGCTCGGGTAGTACGATTGTTGCGATTGCGCTACAGCGGCACCGTTGGCACTCTGCAACAAAAATAAGAATTTACTGTGAAGTTTCTTTAAATCGGCATGATGCGAGGTGGTTGAAATGTATCAAAGAAGGCGTGGCCTGTTTTCCTATGTGTAGATTGCACTGATGCACTGATGGCAGAGTAGTAGAAAAGCGCATTTCCCCAAGAAACGCCACTAAGGCGATGGTCTGTAAGACAAGCATAGTTTTAAGCGAAAGGGGTGGAAACGGGAAAATTGCCACTCTATTCAACAAGAGATTAGTATTCTCTCAAACCTCATCACCAGGAGGATGAGTGCTATATGCCGAATATTCCCGCAGAAGTATATTTTTTGTAATAATGTAATGACGAGTATTTCAAACTGCGGCAACGCTGTTTTTTACAACTGTCGTCACTGGTGGTATTTCCCCGTTTTCTTAGACGCAGTTCGACATCCTAATAAATGCATCTTCTTCAGCATAAAACCACCTTTTCTTCGGGAAAATCGTTAATCCCAAGAAAAATACCATCATTCACGCACTCAATCAAAAGCAACCTTACTTTAAATACAACTGCTACACTTTCACATGCAGACAAGCCATCAGCAGAAAGCTCGGGTTGGTCATGTTTCAACTGCGTTTCTTCCTGCATTTTATTTCGAACAGGAACCCAAGCATATGCAATAACTAAAAAACTGAACCAGCACGTCAACAAACGCTGATAGCACTTATCTTAAGTACCAACTACTCGGTGAAAACGTCAACGCTGCGTTAAAAGCGCCCTCTATGAAAATTTGGCGCTTTTGTAGGTGGTACCAGCATGTTAACCCACAATTACTGATAAGGGAAATTGAATGTTCAGTTTAATGGATTAATTTATGGCTGAGCTTTGAAAAGTGGATTGTGCAATTTTCTTAAATGAGTGTAAAACTTGTGTTGTTGAGTAGAAAACGTGTCCTAAACAGGCCAAGTGCCCCGGATCCAGCGGCATAGAACATACAACCTAATAGAAACAGCAGAAGCGCATTAAGTGAAATGAAAAATAAATTAATTTAATTAAAGAACCAGAAACAGGTCAAAGATATGGGCTTGCAAGCTTTGAGTTCTGGGAATCACAAGTGCATATAATACAAACATAAATCTCCTACAAACATATACTTTGTTAATCAGTATGTATGAGGAGAACGAAATTAGCTTAGAAGCGAGTTCATACAGTAGACTTTTTTGGCTCTGAATCATATATCTATATGGACTGAGTATAAGAACTCAATATATCAGCAATTAATTTAAATTGTATTGTTCCGAAACATGGCCAAGCCGACGTCTTCAAATCGGTCCTCACATTGTTTCAATATTTCCAATACAAACCTGCATCGCTTTGGCTTCCAATTAAAACCTATTAACTACTAAAAATAGCTCGATGCATACGCATCATAAACTCTAATCACGCTTAATGTTGTTGTTTGTGCATGGGATTTTCGATCTCAATGGTGTCTTCTCTATGAAGAATCTGATTTCAACGAGGAAACAAAACGCAGTGTTTTCAGTTGGTTTCCTCAAATTTACTCCAGTTCCAGTGCGGCAATTTTTATTTTCTTCGACCGCCTGGACTGGACTTTTACGTTCACAAAATATAAATTTGCTTTGCAAAGAGGTAAAACTTTATTCCTGTTCGACATTGTTAAACCTGATAGTTTTGAAGAGCACAATTCCAAAACTAACCACGCGTCCATGTCGCAGATGTTCTGTTTTCTCGTTAACCGATTCTGAACGAACGCAGTGGTTTTGCAAAGTTGCAGAATTTAACGATATGGAATACGATTTTCCTTCAAAAGCTCCAGACCAGAAGAGTTCTTGGTGTTGTTGTCACAAAGTCACTGTATAGAATTGAGAATTTATAAGTGCTGCCCCAGAGAGAGCATAAAACCTGCATGGATCAGACATTTTACAGTATTCCCGCAAAATATCCAGCTCAGAGCCCATGATTTCTTCGACCCACACGAAGGCTTCCATCGAAACATCGCTGATCTCTCAGCATGTCTGGAAGCAGCAAAATCTACTACAGGAATTGCTCATGAGGTACAGACCAAATAATGTGGAGAGATGAATGATGAAACAGCCGAATTCTACTCCAGAGTAGGCTTTCGGCAGGGGTTATATAGTGAAGAGGGGGAATGGAATTATATAGAAACCACTCACCTCTAGTTGATGAACGTAAAATGGATCATTAAAGCAAACATTAGGGATCTGCCGAGTCAAGCGAAAGGAAAAACTAGGAATGTGACATCAATCAAAAAAGATCACATTGAACACACTTACATAGTGATTGGTGTTTTGTAATGGCAGTAGATTCGCATGTTGAGAAGGTGACAAGATCACGTGTCGCAAGGTGCCATTCTCGTCGACGATCTGCTGCACCACGTGACCGGGCGGCACGTGCACCGGCATTGCAATTGGTGGCGTTTGATTGGTTGACACCATYGGTACTGTCACAGGACCTGTAAAGAAAATCACTTTTGAACATTCTCATATGCTACTCGTCTTTATCTATGCTCATATGAACCAACTATAGYAAAGTCCGCTTAATAATGAACCCGGTTACAGTGAACTTCCGGTTAAAACGAATTTAATTGAAACGTCGTCCATAAAGACCAACGTATTTTTTTACTGGTTATAACGAACCCGTTTATAACGAACTACCCGATATAACGATCACTTTTTAGGTTAGTTGTATATTCACTTCCCGTTTATAACGAACTTCCACGCTCAGCAACACCAATCGTGAGGAGGTGTTTATATTAGTGAGAGAGAGAGAGACAGGCAGTGACATGTTGTTTTTTACCGCGTTATGTATGTAAATCGTTTTAGAATGGAAAAATAAAAACGCAAACCTTTTTCACTAAATGAAAAGTACCAGATTATTAACAAAATAACAAGTGGAGAAAACAAAGTGACATTTGTAAGGAATTAGCACTTGGAAAGTCTACTGTTGCAACAATATGAAAAAACACAGATAACATTTTATCAGCGTATGACAAATCAAATGTTAGATGTAGGAAGTTAAAATTATCTGCACATGAAAAGGTTGACAAGGGACTTATTAAGTGGTTTACTCAAAAAAGACAAAAAAACGTTCCCATAATTGGCAATGTTTTGCAAGAAAATGCTAGTGAAATGGGGAGTAAAATCAAAAACAAAGAGTTTGCTTGTTCTAAAAGTTGGGAAGAGCCTTTCAAGAAGAGGCATAATATCAGTAGCGGAAAAATTGTTAGAGTCGGCCGGTGAAAAATTCTTCTTATGAAAACGTTAGAGGCGATCGATAAAAATGAAACATTTTCTATAAATCTTTTAGATGCAGTCAATTTCATTCATAGAGCTTGGCAAAAAGTTAGCCGAAAAACCATTGCAAATTGCTTTAAGCATGGGGGATTTGTAAGAAAAGAAAATGATTATGAACCAGACGATGAAATTCCACTTAACGAATGGTGAGAAAAGTATAAACACTCTGACTACGAGTATGACACAGACGAAGATGTCCCAATGTTGTCGAAGAACAAGTTAAAACGAAATTGAGTGATTTCAATTTCTTCGAATATGTGAGCATTGATAATGGCATTCTTACAAGAGAAATGTTGACCGATGAGCAAATTATAGACTCCGTAACCTCATCTACAGCTTTAAGCGATAATGAGAAAGATGACGTTTTAGGTGAAACGTATTCTACTGTAGACACTAATGCTGTTCCAACCACTTGTGAAATGACAAAAAAAGTGTCAGAAACTCGGAATTCTCTACAATCACGCCAAGTTCCTAATCATATCTGGAAGTCCTTTTGTGACCTTGAAAACTACATAAATAACATCTATTTTTGCAGTAGAAATGTACAAACAAAAATTACAGACTTTATGAAGTAGATTTCAAATTGAATTTTGTTTATCTTTTTGTGTTCTTTCTACTACTACTCTATGTAAAAATAACGAAATAAAATACCCCACGTGTTTTTGTATTATTATTCCTTTATTAATTAACTCCGGATATAACGAGCCAGTTTTAGTTCATTTTTCAAGTTCGTTATATCGGGACTCAACGTTGGAGGCAATCAAACCTCGCAACAGAGCCACTGGTTTACTATGGTCTACATTGGAGTCCGCTGATGTCACTTTTGAAGCAACCGACTCAATTTCAGTATAAGTAGTTTGTGTTAGTCTGTCAGTTTGTTGATTAGTCTTTATAAGACATTCGTTACGGTTTCAAGGATAGATGTAAAATAGTATATTATGGTACGCGAGACGAAAGTGGAAGTTCCGCCACTGCTTGACGGGGACGCCCGAGGCGAAGCCGAGGGCCCTTGACTTTCGTCATGCGTACCGTGCGTACTATTTTTCTTATATAAGGTTTTGAAAAAAAACTTTGAAAATGTTGTCAAAACAGTCAGTGACAAAGTCAAGGTGTCAGAGTGCGTGGCGGAAGAAGAAAATTTGTAATGGGTAAAAGTGGTGCTTTGAAGATGGACCCATTTTTTGCCAATTATTCAACATTTTTTTCAACATCAACAACACAATATTTTCATTACGGTTTCAACGTTAGAAGCAAAAATATCAATTTTTTGCGCATGTTCGTGTTAAGTCAGTCTGTCAGAGTGTGTAGTAAGTGTTAAGTGTCATGTCAGCACCAGGACTATGGACTTTTCCATGGCTCTGATAAAGCCCAATTTTCTATTGGTTGGCTCTACTGAGGCCGTTTAGTTACGCGCTCCAGCGCAGTAGATGGCGGCAGCAACTAAATCTAGCGTATGAAAGGTAACAGGTTTGAAATTCTCTGTCCACAAGTTGTTGTCCTTTTTGCTCCTTATCGAATTAATGCAACCGCGAATGCAACAGAGAATCAGTACATTCAGTTTGCTGCGAACCATGACCTGTTGCTGAAACGTAAACTGCTCTTGCATCAAGGATTTACATCATTTTCAATGCAAATTTTCGATTTCATCAATGAAGTAATAATTGTGAATTTTGCTTTCCCAATGCGGGTTTTACCACCAACAACCGACAAACTGGAGCAATCGAATCGGCAACATTTTTCTTGTGCTTCAATTGTTTTACGTGATTGAATCACCAATAATCGTCGTCGGTTGTTTAGCACGCCTAATTAAAAAAACACTCATGCAATTTCGCAATAAAACAAATGCGGTTTATTTTCAAACTCCCACGGATTTGAAACAGTTAGAACTGTAGAGGAGGGCCAGGTTGCCAAAGCGGCATGTGAAAAACCTCGGTTTTCTGCGCAAACTGGCTTCGGGAAATTCAGTTGATTGATGCCAAAGAGAAATCCGCTAATGGTGCACTTTAAGTAGTACAGAGACTATGGAATTAAGTTAAGATGGGCTGCCGCAATAATGAAAGTAAGGTTACGGTAGGCAAAACACCAGTGCAGTGCAGTTTCAGGCAGTTTGATGGCATTGATTCGGCCGCTTTTTGAGGACACAAGGGTTGTCAAATGAATTTATCAGAAAACACCCACAAGCCTCCCAAAATGCCTCGAATTCCATATAAATTTCATCAGATAATAAATAGGTTTGCTGATTGATTGAACTTGGCGGCGTTTTCTTCTTTGGCCTCTTGTGGCGACTAAAACAGTTACGATCTGAAAACGGTTACTTTGTTGATGCGACAACGTTGCACCAGATGTAAGCCAGAAAACCCAATTCGGTTTAGGAATGCGAATCGTGATTTGTGCGAATGTTTCTCTTTGATGCTGCCCGGATTATGCAAGCCGGTTTATTAGACCATTTCCTAGATGACATTTTGGCTCGATTTTCCATTGTCCATGGTTACATCAGGCCGGTTTCGTGATCTTTGTCTAATCGATTGAGCGGCATTTTGCCGTCACTTCCTATTAAGCCAAAAAGCCTTGGACATTGAACTGTTCGACTACTTACTGGGTACCAACTAGCCTGTGAATGAGACAATTTGAATTGTACTGATCGACGATAATTAGTCATCGCAAAAACGATCAAAATTCCCGATAGAACTGGTCCTATTTATAATTTCACGGATGTCTGGCTTTTTTAATTACCAAGGACATCGAACGCAAACAAATACACAGACAGACACAAAGTTTCCTCATGTTTTAACAACTAGTGAGGCAATTGGGCTGGGGGATCGAAAGAGCGGGTGAAGGATTACAAACAGTTAGAGTTACATTTGTCTAGAACCCGGTATGTACTTATAACAGAGTCGGTTGTTATTGAACGACCCCCGTACCGGTAGTACCAGTCTCTTTTACGCTCCGCGGAGCGGTTGAACCCGAGGTATTTTCAGTTCAGACACTTTCAAGGCCGACGGTACTAACGGACCGGATTACCACTCGAACGACCATTAAATTCCGTGGAGGTACTTTAATAAATCCGTCTGCAGTCAACGTTCCAGTCGTACCTTTTCCAAGTGCACGAACAGTCTGGAAAAGTGACTCACCATATTCTCCTGGATGGAGGTGCATATGGTGGGGACACATCTCCCCACCAGGAACATAGTGGTACTGATCCCCTGGATAGTACTCCCCATACGGGGGTGGGGAGCAGTACTGCACCTCATGCGCATTGTTATGATGGTGGTGGTGGTTGTGGTGGTACTGACCACTTGAGGTGGAAGACGACGTTTCGACCCCTTGGCTCGCCACCATTCCGCCGGCAACGAGTCTTCCGGTGCCTCCACCTTATTGAAGAATTGGTTGTTCAGATAAAGGGAACCACCCGGGAAGGTTGGGGTGGAACAGCGAATTGGAGCCAAAACTTTTCAGCGAATCGATTTATAGTTCTACTGACTATTTCAGCTTGCTTTGGTTGTACGTGTATATCACGCACAATAGTTTATCAACATCAATAACTCCCAATTTTGGGTACTGTTCAGGCTAATGGAATAATGAAAATGCCATTGATGCTAATGAGAGACATTAGGAGTACTAGGTACTTTTGATCTCAATAATGCACTGTTTTAAATGGGTTTAAGTGGATTTTGCATGCAATCGGTGAAGCGTTTGCAAACAATGACATAAGGAAGTTTTATTACCCATTTATAAGCCCTTAAAAAGTTCATAATCAGTAGTAAGTAGTACCATAAAGGAGCAGAAGAGAGTTTATTAGAAATCGGCTTAGAAGTTCAGTTGTTGTCATGGTAAAATGTAAATTTTGGTCCTTCGAGCGGGATGTGTTGCAAAGCTAAGAAACCGCGGTGATTCTGGTTTGCTTTGATTTTGAACATTTGGAACATTTGCTCCCTTATAGGCACAATGTCGAGTCTTTCAAGATGCGAACTATTGAAGCGTGTACTACGGACATTCGAAGATGAGACCTGCTTTCGTCTGTTTTAATGTATTTAAACGGAAACAATCGTAGGTGAAAGTCGCTGTTGATCTACCTCGTTTTCCTATCCACCTTTAAGTACCGTCTATGTTTGCAATAGTAAAATTTTTGTATAGAGAGACTGAGAGAAGACAACAAATG